AGTGGACTCTGATTGGCCCATTTTTACATACCTAAAATACTTACCCCTAACCTTTTCTCCTAATCCAAATATGTCATATTAATATATCCATCCATCCATCCATCCATCCGCCACCTGCTTGTCCTCAGCAGTGTTGTGGGACATGCTTACATATTAATATCATTATATATCATTATACATTTCTGACCCTATATCTCATAAATGGCCTCATAAATATAACGTATCATAACATTATCCACTGGGATAGGATGTGATGGTCTTGGTTTTGCTTAAATTTTTTTACTGATACAGATAAATACAGACACGATATACACTACAGTAACTCACAATCACACTCTAGTGGTGATGGAGATTAATGGCATGAGATTGTGTGCACAGACCTAAACTGAACTGTTAATAAATAGATTTGAAATTAAGATTCTGTAAAATGGCAGACTTTCAGTCACTGGAAAGTGCCATCCTCGAAGCAAATTTCCCAACTGTAACAGAAGAAAAGCAAGCTGATAGCATAATTTATTTGCTGTCTGAGCAGGAGAGCTCGCAGTAGGAATTTTATGACATTTTGCAACATCTGTTAATTAAATTGCACGTTTCAGATAAACCGTGGTTCCCAGATATCAGATATCTGCTCCCCACATCAGCCCCAAAAACACCCGTGAAATAACGTGATTTGGGAGGCGGGCTGAATGACACGGGCACCTGCAGACAGCCAATCAGATAGAGGGGGCAGGATATTGATTATGGGCCCTTTAGGGATCAAAGGTAAAGTTTGCGCAAGAATCAATAACATGATTAAAGGAATTAAAAGATGGCTGCTGTTAGCCTGAAAGGTGGTTTGATAGCTGACCTGACAAGGGCACGCAGTTACTGTATACTGAAGTGGCGTTCAAGCTGCATTTATTCGGTCTATTTAGCAGATTCCTATCCAAAGAAATGTACATATTTTTTAAGAAAGCAGGGTCAGACCATCTCTAGAGCTACTGAAGGCTGAGGGTTTTGCTCACATCATGAAATCACACTGCTAACCTTAGGATTTGAACCCAGCACCCTTCTGATGCCAGGCAATGCGTTGCCCCCACCTTATGCACTGTTATTTATACACACTCCATTCATGCACATTTATGCGCCTCTTCTGATGTGGGAGGAGAGGGTTCAGTCTTCATGATGCCTTGGTTCCGGCAAAGTTTAATTTCTGGAATTTTCTGCTAAAGGTTTGCTAGATGCTTTGGAGAAACTATACTAGAAACGAATGTATAGAAAAAAACTTGACTGAAATGATAATATAGCAAATAAACATTAGTTTGTATGTGTCATAAAACATTGACTGGAAACATTGACCATATATGCTGAAAAAAGGGTAATGTAAACTAATGTTGTTATTTATGCGTGTGGGGTGTGAATCAGTGGGCAGCCCTGCTCTGTCACACCTCCAGTGTTGGGGGATTGAAGTCCACCTCTGCTGTTTGGGTTATTTGTATATTACGTTGTGGGGACCATTTTTCAGTCCTCACTACGGTAAACTCAATATTTTTATAAAAATCTGTCACTACAATCAAAAAACTAAAGTTCAAAAGTCTTGTGTTTTGTTTGATTACTTATGTTTAAGGTTAGGGTTGGGTGGGGGTTAAGGTTGTCATTACTGGGATTAGGGTTTTACCCATAGTAATGAATGGACGGTCCCCACAAAGATATGAATACAAACGTGTATGTCTGTCCTGCAATGGACTAGCAGACATGCCTTTGCAGAGTGACACACGTAGCGAATGAGGGTGCAAATGCGCCAGATGGCGGTTCTCCGTCTGATACTACCTGTCGCATCCATCATGGGGTCAGTCTTTACCTACTCATTTAACGGTACAGGTATATGCGCACGGGAGAAACAGGGTGGTCTTAAATGCCTTTGGCCTGTTCGTGACCTTGAGCCTCTGGCTTTGACCTTGGATTTGTAACCTTATCCGTCCGTGAACTTGAGTCTGATCGTGACAATCTGTGGCCGTCCATGAACCCCCCCCCTGTTTGGGGAACTTGGTTCACGCCATCCGTCTCCTCCAATCGCCACGCGGACTACACTGCCCTACAGCCCAAAAGCCACAGGGAGATAGAAGAGGAGGGAGGTGGTGCTCACTTGTGCGTGGAAGACGGAGAGGGACTTGGCCGTGTGCAGAGGGATCAGCACCCGCACCAGGAACTGCTTGTGCTCGGACTTGAGCGGCAGGGCAAAACCATTGATTATGCTGTCCGGGGGGGAACAAAAAAGAAAGAGAGAAAGAGGAAGGGGAGTAAGAACCGGCTTAACAAGCATATTATCAGACATTCCATTCAATTCTCAGTACACAGTCACATGGGGGTCTCTCTAAATGCTTCCAACACCCCCCCCCCCCCCTCCCCACTGCACGTCAACTGATATCGACACACCAGCACCAAAGTCACAACAGGTTACCCGGCATGAATGCCTGATTGCCGAAGCATTACTTGCTGTGCATTGCCAATATGGTGGACGAAGAAGAGCGTAGCGTGTCCGAAAAGCCTTTCAATCATACTGCTTTCCACCGTGGAGCCTGATACCCATGAAACTGCATTACAGCGCAGCTCTGATGTAAGACACTATGACATCATCGATCCTATGACTCATGCCCTGCTCCCCGCAGCACGTCACATGGTCACACACCTGACCAATGGCTAATTATCAGGTGGGCGGAGCCTCTCGTGGGTCACCTCGGGCCAATCAGGACCTGAATCTCACCACCTTCTACCATTTTCCCCCTCTGCTTCATCCTCCTTGTCTTTCTTAAGCTCTTAATCCACTCCATCCCCCTTATTGCCATGTCTCCACCCGGAAGAGGCAGATATCTCCCCAACCTGGGGGCCACGTGGGAGGAGGTAAAAATATCAGCATTACAATAAAATCAGAATAACCCCCCCCCCCAAGCCTTTCCTCCCTCACGCTGACTCATCCTTCCCCTTTCCTACGCCGACATTTGCGAATAAACAATAAATAAGCAACACATATGCCACCCCCACCCCAATGAAAATGGGGTGTCAGAAACAAACGGCAGGATAATGTCATCCCGTGGGGGTACAGCAGGGTGGGGGGGGATCTCCGTGGCGTGTGAGCCTGTCACTGTGCTGCTCTTGTGACGGCTGCCTACCTGCCCAGGATCTCCAGCAGCTCTGCCACTCCGCTGAAGTGTTCGGTTTCGTAGATGAACCTGATGGGCGAGAAGGAGACAGGGTGACATGTTACTGCGAGGGTGTCACATGGAATGTGTGCGGGGGGGGGGAGGAGCAGTGCAAGAAGGTGCAGCTCTTCCACGTAATAGAGGTTCTGAAGCTATACTTTTCCATAAATACCATTTAGTGAGGATATTGGGGGGTATCACCATCTGGATGATTATAGACACATATGTGTTGGCATAGCAACCCACTGTGTCCAGGCATAAGCAGCTATGGGAGATGGATGGATGTTAAGCAAGGACTCTCAACCCAGTCTGACGCCACAGACAGTCCGCATTCTTGCTCCCTCCCAGCTCTCAACGGTCATGGGAGTTTTACTTACACAAAAATGTTCTGAGGGCAGAACGCAAAATGAGTGGTCCAGAGAGTTAACCAATCAGATTGTAGAGGAGGTGGGTCCAAGCAACTGGAGAAGGCGGGACCAACCAATCAGATGTCTTGGTCCTGCCTCCTACAGTTGCTTGAATGGATATCATTTTTAGTTCTGTCCTCAGAATGTTTTTGTGAATGTAAAACTCCCATGAGTCCTCACACTTATACCAAGTATTTGGTGTTATTGTTTGGCTTGGGAGGGAACAAAAACGTGAACCATCGGGGGGGGGGGGGGTCCCCAAGAACTGGGTTAAGAAACACTGCTCTGGGATAGCGGGAAGTTGGGTGTTTGCTGGGTGAAAGCCTGTCCGCGGCGTCCCTCTGCCCATCACCAATGGCGTTTAATCGGCATCATCTGGGGAAAATACGCCCGTCAGAAATTAGAGCCAAAGACAGCATGAAAACATGCCGTCATGGGTCTTTACAGACCGGGTCTCTCACTCACTGTGCAATAAACTCGACTCATGACACAAAATCCATGTGTGATTTAGGAGTGGAGCTGCCTGCCTTTCCAGCACCGTGCATCATCCAGTGAGAGGTAACACAATACCAAAGAGTTTGACGAATATGTACCAATGTGGTGACATTTGCCACAGTAGGAAACAGCTGAAGGAGAACTGAGGCCCGTGTCATATGAAACTGACGGCTCAGGTGAAGATTTTTCCAGCCTGTGATTTAAGTTGCGTTTCTCCCAGAAAATAAAATGTAAAACAACAAAATCAGAAAAGATAAAAAAATATATGAAAATGTATGGTGGCCCAGGAGGTCCAACACGCACAGAAAATCTTTTCTTAGGCCAGTCTCTACCTGTGTCCACCAGCTGAGTGTGATATTGGGGTACCCCATTTTCCATAGAACGGCGATCAAGCAACACCCATGATGAATATATGAGCTCCTCTGGCTTACTAATGAAGACAGTGGGTCTCAAAACCCAAAGATACAGCTTCGTCGTACACAAGATCCAGCACTTAGTGTTGGGCATTTCAGGTCCAGAAGCTACAAATCCAGACCAAGATTTTGTTTCTACCAACAAGCTGAGCATAAATAGTCACAGTCAAAGAGTGCTCACCGGGTTGGTAGAAACAAAATCCTGGTCTGGATTTGTAGCTTCTGGACCCGAAATGCCCAACATTGATACACTCAACATATAAGACACTGTGCCACATTAACAGCGGTTCCAGTTCGGGAACTCATGTAAAATTAGACTTCATGGCGATTAGGGAATTAATCGCATTTTTGTGTCGCATTGTAACATCTGGTTTAGTCTGGTCTCCTATACAGCTGTGACCCCGCTTTGATCTACAGATGTAGCCAGTCGAAAGAACTCGTCTGCAATCGGTAAAAATGCGATCATGTTCCCCTAACCTTCTTTACCCACATCTCCCTCGATGGCCAAGAGTATCTACATTTCATTTACAGTGCTGTGCGGAAGTCTTAGGCAGTCAAAGAAAACAATGTCTAACTGATCTTCACATTGGTGTAAAACTGCGATATTATATCCAAGTGTGTCAACTTAGCCATTTCAAAACCTCTCCTAAAGTCACCCCGGTATTTGCAGCGACCATCTAATACACCCACGTATATTTTGACTGGACCACTATCCCACCTTGCTTGGCTAATCAGTATTTAACTTATCAAGTTAATTAAGTGATTGTGAAATTTAACAAATACATGGAATGACTGGGGTGTCACAGAGAAGAAGTTTCGGGAACTGAAGCGGTGTTCGTCAGAAAACCCACAAGGTTTTAGCAACTTTTTTTGGGGGAAAAAAGTCATTACATTACTTTTAATTTGCATAATTGATTCAACTAATGTTAAATTGTGTTTTTATTCTGAGCAAATACAGACTTACTACCCAGATAAACAGCTTTAGTCATTTCCGTTACTTTTGCACAATAATGTACAGTTATTTAGCAAACACTTTTATCCAAAGCGACATACATTCTAGGTTACGGACCTTGATCAGGGGCCGAACAGTGACATCACTCTGGTACCACTGGGACTTGAACTAATGACCCTTCTGATCACAAGCACAGCATCCCAACCCAGAGCTACACACCACACCCAGTTACAAGCACCAGAGCTGTGGCTCAGTGTCGTAGCACAGATTCATCAGCCCTTATTAATTAAGATAACGATCTTCGCACCCGACGCCCCTCATCCCCAACTGAGCAGATCGCTCCGTGATTTCGTAACTAGCCAACCATCGCTAAACGAGAAAAGTAACATGCGAGTCATCCTAGACAGACCCTCTAAATCCCTCCTCCACACATATCGGGGTGTTTATTTCCTGTTTTTTTTTTAACGTTACTGTGTACGATCAAGGCAAACACACTCGGGGAATCTACCGAGACGAGTGCTGGGTTCTTTTGTCACGGATAGCTTTGTATTAAAGGAACATTCCCTCAGCACACACACTCACGCGCAAACACACACACCCACCTGAGGAAGATGTTGTTGATCTGTTTGCGGATGTACGCTCGCAATCCCAGTAGCTTGCCGTAGACGCGGTGCAGGATCGTCTTCAGGTACTCCCTCTCCCGTGGGTCCTCACTGTCGAATAGCTCCAGCAGCTGGGGGCACCGGAGAGGGCGGGCAAGTGAGAGCGGGAACAGGACTGTGGTGCCACCGCTGACCTCACCGCTGACCTCGATTACAAGGCCAGATAAGTGCCAGTGGCTATTCTACATGGTCTGTCACATTTGCTTCCAAGAAGACTACTTATTGGCTGGCCTTTACGTCAATCATCCATCAGGTCTACCTGATTGGTTTAGTAGTTATCTATATTGTTAATAAGTTCCCTCCAAAAATATGTTCACATTTACTTATTTCGCAGACACATTTTTCCAAAGCAGCATACAACTGAAGCATATTATATTACAAACATATGTGCTGTCAAGGAGTTAACTAGGTGTAAGTGTAGTGTTAAAACGGTGTTAGTGTTAAAACAGATTTTTTTGAGTTCTTGATGTAACGCAGCTCATATTTTGATCTATGTCCCCAAATGATATGTCAGATCTTAATTAGGGAAGTTTTTCACAAAGAACTCATGGATCACGATGGGTTTGACACCTTCTGCACAACGCCACAGTGACCTTGCCAATTCCATGCCAGGTGCGGATTTATTCAAATAAAACACACAGTAACCAAATGCAAGCAAATATCACAAGGTGGTCGTAAATCATTCTCTCTCTTACACGCATTCAGAAAAAACCACCATGCCTTACTTTCTCGTCATGTCTTTACCTGGAGGACAAACTTCTGGTCCACGTAACGCTTGGCTATGGAGGGCTGAAAGTCTGGGCTTTCCAAGAACCGGAGGAAGAACTCGTAGACGAGCTGCGAGCGGGAGATGGGGACACGGTCAGGGTCAGGAAGCGGATGTGACATTCGGGCAGGGGGCAGGAGGCCGGACTCAGGCGTGGGTGGGCTCTCTACCTGGAGATGTGGCCAGGAGGCCTCCAGGGTGGGCTCGTCCTCCTCAGGATCGAACTCGGGATTCTCGCTGGGCGGCAGGGTGCGGAAGATGTTCACTGAAATCTGAGGTGCCGGAAGACATTTGTGAATCAAATCACTCTCCACCAAACTCCATTTGCCTAGACCCTCCCTCGCTATCTCAACCCCGGATGAGGTCACACTCTGGACGGAACGGCAGCACACACACACACATTTACAAAGACAGACTTGTGACTTGACCCCCCAACACAAAATGGCCTCCCAGAGGTGTGAGCGAAAGACGCTACCTGCCGTCCACCTATGATGAAGCCCTGTTGCCCTGTGCCCATCATGAGATAGACTCCAGGCCCCTGGAACCTTCTACTGGATGCATGGTTGGACCTCTACCTTAACACTACACAGCTAACAGTTCCACAAATGTATGCATGCAGCGTCACTGAAGTCATTCCCCCCTCCTACCCCCTCCTCACCATCTTGATGGCCTCAGGGTAGAGCGGCTCGATGAGCACGCCGCGCCCGGTGGCCACGCTCTCCACCAGCTCGTTGAGCGCTGCCCTCTTCACTTCCTTGCCCTTGAGGTCGGCCACGCAGTCCAGGAAGTCGAAGAGCACGCAGCACTGCTGCAGCTTCTTGCAGAAGAGGTCGTGGAGCTCTGCTGCGGGGGCATCTGGGGGGGGGGGGCAGAACGGGACAGGCGGGTCACCCAGAGGAAGGACGCCGACGGGGGCCACGGACGGCCAAAGGTCACGCAGAAGCCAGGGGGCAGTCATCAGCTGGAGATCTGAGATCTCTCCAGGAACTGATTAACCTACACCCAACCGATTTAGGTGCACACTTACAGGAGAAGGTGATGAACTTTAACGACAGGTCAACAGCTAATAGACCAAGACCATCAAGCTGCAGCTGAACTCCATTAATTGCTATGCATTAATTACTAGTAGACGACCATCGGTGGCATGGTGGCTCATTTCTTACCACTGTTGCCTCACACTTCTGGGACCTGGGTTCTAGGTGTGTGCATGTTCTCCCTGTGTTGTCATGGGCTTTCCTCCAAGTTCTCCATCCATACCCCCCCCCCCCCCCCCCCCCCCCCCCCCCCAACGATGGGTTGGCACCCCATCCTGGGTTGTTCCCTGCCTTGTACTCAAAGCCTCCGGGACTGGCTCCGGACCCCACCCCGGCCCAACACTGAAAAGGATAAGTGGTTACAGAAAATGGATGGATGGACCACTGAAGGTATATAATAGTATATATATATATATAGTATATTTGAATACATACATATGCTTACATTTATTCAAAATGAAACCTGTTGAGCCTTCTATTCTATAAACAGTCCAACTGAATTACGATTAAAACAAATTAGGAGTGGAATTAAAACAGAATTAGATCATTTTGATGACTACATGATTCTAGAATGCTCCCATGACAAAAGAGCAGACTGAATCTCAGAGGTGTTTAGGCTAAGTGACACTGTTTAGGAAGGACGTCCAATCTAAGATTTAAGTACTCCTGACTCATCAGGGTATGGCCAGCCTCCGGCTTCGGAGTGCTCCAAGACGATGGCCGAAGGCGACTGGAAACAAGAGACGAAACAGTAACAGAATAACGCGCCATTACAGTGCGCCTTATATTCCATCATCAATAAAACATTACTGCTTTTACTGCGGGGCCTGGAGATGCAGCGATCGATAAACAGACATTAGCACTCACGGCTACATAATGACATATTGAAGGCTCGTTTAAAAACACGATAATCAAGTCAAATTAAAGCTACCATGTTCAGATTAAAATAATATTCCCAACTTACATTAAAAAAAACAAAACTAATTAATATGCACATAAATGTGTATATTTATTATGTACGAATTTATATATTTGAGAATGTCCCTACTGGGAACCAACCATAGCAACAAGTGTACATTATACCTAAATGCAATTCAATTAAATAATTAATCAATTAATTACTGAATGTAACGATGGGGGTGACAGTTACAGTACATGGCATGAAGGATCCCCTCACGCATCCTTCACGCCGGTCTGCTGAACCGTGCAAAAACGGTTTCGGTAATTGAATTATGCAGAGGAGTCATGTGTTTACTTCTGCAGCTGTTATGTGCTTAGAGCCACCCAGAGGTCAGAGTGAAAAATGAGGGAGACACTGACCGGGTTATACCATGCCGGCGCATCTGGGGGGGGGGGGAGAGAACACGATGTTCAGGAAGCTACCCTGGCTCGCCAGTCACGCTCACGGCGGGAGCAGTCGGAGAACGTGCTAGCTGCACCTGTGAAGTACTCCCCGGGGAACAGGTACGAGGGGGGGCGAAAATGCGGGGCCAATTTTACGGGGCCACCATTTTTACAGGGACCAAAGTGACCAATCGCAGCGCCCCCTATGGGGCGGGATGGGCAAGCCCGTCGTCCAAAACGCAGCGATGGCCTGCGACACTCTGCCTGGAATATTTGGGAACGTGTACCCGCTACATTAAACGTGACGCTCGCAGCGAAAAGTTCAAGCTAATTAGAAAAAAAAAAACTTTAATTAGACCGATGGGCAAAAGATAAATATCGTGCGCGTTTATAATTACTGGAAGAGGTAAAAAGCCTGGTTTAAAATAATCCTGTAAGTGAAAGTGACAAACAGCTGGAGGCGAGTATGCTAAATGACATCACTGCAGATTCTGTGGGTGTATAAGTGATGTGGGGGGGGGAGGCCTGCGCGTATACATTTATATATATATGTAAAACAACTAAATATATACCTCAAATGCACTAGACCACATGGTAATTCTGAATGTTAGAAAACCTGCACTGGGAAAAAGTATTGGAGCATGTGGGAAAACTGGTGGGCGGTGGGGGGGGTTTAGTGGCGAGTAAAAGCTGGAAATGGGGGTTTCGGGCTATGGCAGACCATGTCTGAGGGGAGGAACCGAGAAGGGTGGGGGGGGGACAAAGAAACCAAAAGTGAAATAGCTCTTTGTGGAGATGAGGAAAAGAGGAAGAGTGCAGGAGGAAGGATGAAGAGGATGAAGAGAGAGGAAGGTGGAGGTTGAGGGGGCGGGGCCAGCAGGCAGGGGTGCCGTGGTGACCAAGCATCTTGGGGTGGGGATGGGGGGGGCGAGGTGATGCTTCGCGGCGATTACTGAATTAAGCACGCCGCAATATCCTCCCCTGAATGCTAGCGCTAAATATAGAGCCGGCACAGGGAGGGAGGGGCCGAGGGTGAGGGAGGGAGATGAGGCCTAACTAGAGGGATGACATCATCTCTCCCCCCCCATCCTTGCTCTCTGCTGCTTGAATCTGACTCGCTGAGAACCTCGGCTAAAATAAGACACATTTTGGACATAACGAACTATTACCATTCCTGAGGGCCTCCAACGTGAACCTTAACACAGGAAAGGGGGGGGGGGGGTTCAAAATCATTTAAAAAGATTAATAATGAGTCAGGGTTTGAGGCAGAGTGGGTCCCCCCTCCCCCCCAAAAAGGGAACTGGTCATGTTTAATTATGCACATTTGATGAGGCAGGTTAGCTCGTGCTAATGACTGGGCGAATGTATCATTTACACCCCACGCATTGTCTTCAGCCACGGACTCCGCGCTAAAAATAACTGTCCGGATTCCATCTTTCCTGCTGGTCTTCGGTTGCTAATCATCGATTTCTGATAAGTCACCGGGCATCAACACCCCTTCGACTCTTTCCTCATGTCTTCCTCTGGCTCCGTTACGATGAGGAATTGGGTTTTTCTGCACAAGTGAATTCTTCATTAAAACACCGGTGCATTAATCACCCCTTACGGTGACCTACCCTTCAGCCCCTCGCTCTCCTTAGCTCTGACCTCCCCTCCTCTCTTGCCATCTCTCTCTGCCCTTCGGATACATTTACGTTCCGATTTTGTCGCTTGACTGACAGAATTTTTCATATCTACCTATGGCACTACTCATTGATAAATATGAATGTCGACCAGAGCATTTCAAGTTAAGTGTCTCGTTTGAAGGCACAACAAATCGGTTAACTGGTCTGGCACATCATTTCCCATCATGCAACTTGTAGATTTTGTCATGTTACTAACAAATGGCACATCATTTCCCATCATGCAACTTGTAGATTTTGTCATATTACTAACAAAATGTTACTAAAGCATTGTTTTGGGAACTAAAATCAGACACTGATATCAGTGTTGAATTACAGATGAAAATGGCACATATAAACTGGACAAGTAGTGGGGCTCTTACAGTTAATCCGATAAAAACAATCTAACGGATATTAGCGATTAGCAGGCTGTGCCCTTTTGTCACTGGGGTGGCTGACACCGGCCTAGAGAACCATAAACTGCTTTCTATACCACATTAGTGCTGATAGAGCTGTCTCTCTCTCTCTCTCGCTCTCTCATATAGACACACAGACACACACAGAGATTTGTAAGTAGAGTCTTTGTGGGGACTCTCCATTCATTTGTATGGGGAAAATTCTAATCCCAACACACATAGGGCATTAGACATACTGACAGCTACGATATTCAATCCGAAAAATCTGAGATTAAACAATACATCCATCCCTTCGTTTTGTATACCTGCGTGTCCTCTGTAGGGTAGCGGGGGTCCAGAGTCTATGGGCACAAGGCAGGAAGTAACCCAGGATGGGGTCCCGACCCATCAGTGTGCACACACACCTACAGGCAATTTGGAAGATCCAATTCACCTCAGCATGTTTTTTAACAGTGGGGGGGGAAACACGATGACACGGGGAGAACACGCAAACTCCACATACATGGACCCAGGGCTAAGACTCAAACCCCAGTCCTGGTGGTGTGTAGCATCAGTGCTAACCACTGCTATGGCCAAATCACAAATCTGCCCCACAAATCTGAAATTTTCCCAAAGTCTCCACAAATATGTTTAAAAAATTAGGACCAGGTCTACTGCAGTTGGACCATCATTGCCAAAGCAATGACCTCAACTTAGCAACAGCGTCAATTAAAAATCTTGCTCACGGTAACGTAACCCAGCACGAGAGCTTCAGCGTACAGGCTGAACAGGCCACTGGGACACGGACGAAATGCCCAGCTGGTTTTTATTAGCTGTGGTGAAAAACAGAAGCAAGGCAGCCGTTTAAAGAGCCAAACTCAGGCAGACTGATGACGTCTTGCCTTCACACACATCCAGGCTCTCCGGAGCATCCCACTGACACCAAGCCCAAGACACGTATTTGGTGATGAACTGGAAACAGCCACAAACAGTCCAGATGACGTCACTCTCGCTTCCGGAAAAGCGTCACATCTGTGATGCTGCTGGTTACTTAATTTCGATTGTTGTGAAAAATCTATTAATGGGTGGTTCATATATGCCATGGACCATCTACCAAATTTCTCCCTAACATTAGATATCCCACATTCGTCTTTAAATAAAGCATCGGATTTTAAGTTTCCCATATTTAATAAAAAAAACAGGTATATAGCTAGAGATATCTAGTGTTAAATAGTGTTAAATAGAAAGTGTGTCAAATGAAATTCAAAGTACAAGGTTTCTGGTCAAACCGCCCCTACACTCTTCTAATGGTGCTCCACACTTTCTGTGCTATCAGACGAAGAGCCAAAGTGAAGTGAGCGGGTTCTTCAAACGAGAACTGCTCACCCTGCATGTCCCTGAAGCGGGGACGCGCGTCGGCATCTCAGCGGGGAATAGGGCGCCTGCTTAGTGACAAAAAAAAAAAAAAAAAACCTGACTAGTGCACCTTGAGAAAAATGCTAGCTAAACAAATTTCATTTACGCTATACGCAGTTATCACAGGCTACCAGAAAAACTCGGAATCATTCTGCGTACATTTTGGCTACGTTAACCAGCACTCTACCAAAGTGTACCTATTAAACCAAACCTTTAAGCTATACCCAACCAGCACGCCGTCATTTTGCGGAACTCTCATATTTTCATTAAGCAGTTACCACAATGTATTACACATAATTTATTCATTAATCTTCTATACCGCTCACCCTATACAACGTTATGGGGGGGGGGGGGTCAAATGATTAGAAAATTATAAATCAGTCTAATTAAGCTACATAGCCACTACCCACTCAGAAAAAGGGTAAAAATCTGACATCTTTGCTTGTCACTGGGGCTGTACCCTCAAGGCTCTGCCAATTGAACCCTTAGCTGTATGTAATTGTACCTTTTAAGGTACAGAAATAGACTGTGAGGAACATTTCTATACCATTGACGGTACATCAATGCTGCTTGTACCTTTGGGATGTTCCTCAGAGTCCATTTCTGTACCTTATAGGTACAATTACTTATAGCTATGGGTACGATTGGCAGATCATTGAGGGTACAGCCCCAGTGAAAAGCGAAAAGCAAAGGCACTAATTTTTACCCTTTTTTTCTGAGAGTGTAGATCACTAATATAGGGAGCTATTAAAGATTTTAAAATAAACAAATATCGAATAGAAAAATATTTCACCCCTAATGGCTTATCCAGTGCAGAGTTGCAATAAGCCTGGAACCAATCCCAGGATGCATTCGCCACAAATCGGGGAGGGGGGGGGGGGGGACTCCCTAATCGCACTCAAAACGTCAGTTAATGGCAGGCAGCGAATGCGCCAAGTAACATCCCTGCCTGTACACAACCCACAAAGCTTTCTGCCAGTCTTGTTCAAATGCACATTGAATGTGTCAACTCTAATTTAACACCTGTTTGTACTATTTGCGTACAGCCAAAATAATAATAATAAAAAAAACACGACTTATCAATTAAGTATTATGTTTCGTAACTGAAGTCAGACTGTATGTGGGTGATGAATATGTAACAGAATGACAAACCAACAGTTGGGATTTTAATTCCACTCAGATCACGCACCCTAACTTGATGTTTGAGTAAGTGCCATATTCGAGCTTCAATGCAACTTTCTACTTCCACACTTATCTAGAAACAACCAAAGAAAAAAAGAAATCTGGGATACCGTTTACCATTCTTTTCTGATCAGCAAACAAACACAAAATATGAATCAGGTACATCCCTTGAGTTCATTTCAGGTAACAGGCAAACTGAAAATTACGGCCAGTCATTCCAACTTATGTTCGAGATGTATTTTTACAAGTCGTCGCAAGGCGACCTGAAGGAATATTTGTCGGAGCGATTCAAAACTCCATAAAGGAAAAGGAAAAACTGACACTGAATCCTTAATTCCTTCAAAGGAGGTCACCAAAACAAAAGATGGATAAAATGTCACAAAGATGGTTAAGTTCTAATCTAAACATTACCCCCACATGTAACATGCTAAGAGCAATTTAGAGACTTTTCTCCATTTAGTATCATATGCAGGGTTTCATATAAATTCAACACTTCATCTGTCTACTACAAGGTTGGAGAGAACCTTGAGGCTATCTCAGAAAGCGTAGGCCGCAGACATTAGTCAGGGGTACACCCAGGAAGGGATGTCTGTACATCATACACTCTCAAACAATATGTGCTATTTAGGGACCTCAATAGATCTATACATGTCCTTTGACTGTGGGAAGAACACAGAAAGTAGATGAAGCACACACAAACAGCAGGAGAACATACCAACTTAAGACACAGCCAGGGTCAGAATCAAACTCACAGCCCCAGACATACAAGCCTACAGCTACAGCACTGTGGGTAATCTTCAGCAATAAGGACTCTGGTCAGGTAGCTGAGATAGGAAAGAAAACAGGACCTGAGCAGGAGAACCAGAGTTACAGTTACAGACAGTGCCGGTCAACCCATTAAGTGACACAGGCAGCCGCCTAGGGCACCATCTTCTAAGTTTGCATAGGGCGCCACACGGGCATGGATGAGCTGTTTACAGGTGGTAATGGCCGACGGGAAGAAAAAACCCAGAAGCAACCACAGAGTACACCTTAAAGGTGGAGCCCACTGTGAGCGACCCGGAATGGCAGCTAAAGTCAGGAAAATCTCGCCAGGGTGTCGCCTGTTCTTGTGAGGAGCGTTTCACACACTCGCACTTACAAACTGAACTCTTGTGTTACTGGGCACCGGACCAAACGTACTGGGAAGATAAGCAACACTTACGAGCTTCAAGATTCGGCACCGGCAAGACGCGTACGGATCTTACGTAAGAGCCAGAACTGCGCGTTATAGCCTTTGTCATTACGGCGTGTAACCTTATCTGAAATGTTCTTTACATTTATCTGGAATATCGTATAACTTGATCTTTACATCAATAACCAGGTTTTACAAAAAAAAGAACTTACATCTATTTTAAATCAGTCATTGTTCCCTCAACGACCTAGAGGAATATACCCAAAAAAGTATGATTATTACTAATAAATTAACGGCAACTGGTTTTTTTGATAGTTATATTTTATTTTACCTATAGCATTCAAAATAGGGCGTTGTCATTTTTACCCCAATACCGTATTTATAAAATGTTTACCCGAGTTATTTATTGTCCCATAACACCCCTGAACCATGACATGAATCCTCAGTTCAAAGCCCAAGAAACTGTTTAGTTAAGAATAATCTCTGAAAGTTCACGTAGGCCTGCTGTCATCGGGGGGGGGGCACGTACCTGTCACATGAATGAATGAATGAATGAATGAATCTGCGATTAAGCACTATCAACACCTTCATAAAATAACATCTGTTTTACACACTAACGTCGCAAGACGATCTATAATGATGTGGTGTTTCCGGTCGCCCCTAAACTTACTGATGTATACGACGGTGGATGTAGCCAATGTAACAATGTATATTTTAGAAAGTTAAAGACACAGACCTTTGAGCAACGGGAGGGCAGTCAGCTCAACCTGGGAGCTTTGGTAGCGGAATTGCGAGGAGCTGTGAGAGCGTCGCTGCCGGGCCCGGCGCATCGACCGCCGTGGGAAGCCATCCACCTTCTCCGCGCTCGGCACCGAGAAGCCCGTGGTCGGCGACGAAGGGCTGGATGGAGGCAGTTTGGTATTTTCCATGGCCAGGGTTTGGAGCGGCGCGGAGACGACGGAATAGCGGTCCTTATGTGGTACAAGCCGGACAGAGGACAGTCCCGTTTCACTGTCGTTTTAAATGAGTAAAAGTCATACAAATCGCCCCTTTTTAATTACAGAGGGATAACGGAAGGTACACGGAGGTTCAGGATGAATGGGGAAGAGGAAGCGGAGACTGAACAGGGTACCGGGGGAAAAAAAGAGAAGCTATAGAACAACCCGCTGCATTAAATTGGACCGCAAAGTAGATATCGTCCTGCTAATTTCTCCGACGGATTTTAGGGGGAAAAAACAGGATCTTGCTGCCTTCTGGATAGAAACATCAAACAGACATGTCTAAAATGATGCAACAACGGGCCACATGCATTACTATAATAAATGTTTCTGCCGTATTGGCGTCAGCAGCCAGCCACCGGCCTAAATGTTGTATTTATTTAAATATTTACCAATTAAACAAATCCTCGCGTAAACAGATTACAGACCTTCCCATAAATAAAATCAAGTAAGGAACTTGTAGAAACGTTTCGGTTATGTAAATCCATTCATCTGAGTGGCTAATTCCATGATGGAAAATCGAGATTCCCTAAATCCAGTCAGTAGTGTCTTTCTTAACGGACCAGAAGCAAGAAATGCATTTAAGGTGTTTCTTTCTGACTCCTCTTCAGACGTTTCTGTTTTTTTCCCGTGGTAATTTCTTAGTGTACCATGCAATTCCCTGTGCCTCGCTGGTTTACACCAGGTAGTAGTGATCCTCGTAGGGCGGGGATGGCGGGTCCAGGCACGCCGACATGTGCCCGTCTTCAGGCAGGATTTGCTACTGCACTCCACCTCCACCTTTACCCCCGTCCGCAGTCTGCTTAACGCGACATTAAACCCAAACGTGTGTACCCCCGATCCCCGTCTTTATCTGCCACAGTCCGCTGCTCAGGTGCTGCAAGGGGAGAGAGAGACACTGCGGATGACGCTTCCTACTACCCTTATTTATTTATTTCCTGTGCCTTTCATTCAGCCCTTTGCATGCACGTATTTCTTAATCTCCTTCCTTATGCAGTCCGCCAGCGTCCCTCTGGAAGATTTACTCCGTTTTTCCTTTTCACGCCTTTCAGCTTCATGTGCGATTTCTTCCCTCCCTCTCGCTACTTCGCCCCTTCGCTCCCTCCCTACAGCCGTCTCCCGTTTGTCTCTGCCGTGAGATTTTCATTCACACACTGAAGCCATTGTCCCGTTTCCAGCATCCGAGCGCTTTCTCTCCGTTTAAATCACCATCCGCGCTCCGTTTACCGCTTGCCTTGTCTTGCCTTAGTGCGGCGGCTCTATAAAAATGAGATTTATTTATTTTTGGCGCATCTGTCGGGGTGTCGTCATGCTGACCGCGTACGTTTCACCCTCCCTCTTTAAAACATACAAGCTTGAATTATATAGTTTCATAAGACAACCGTGGTTTAAATGTGAGGCTTTTCCCCCGCAAATAGCATGAGAGATCAGGGTGAAAGACTCCAGGACTCCGATTCAGATCAATTTGACACAATAACGCATTTTTATTGCAATATCCCACTGGTGTCCTAAAAGTGATTAGGTCGACAGCTACACACATTCATATGCATCTGTACTTCGGTGTTTTAATTGCCAGACATACAAATAGATTTAATTTGATCCATCTAGGACCCATGTTGGCGATATATTCGCTTAGCGTATATCGTAAACGGTACGTGTATAGAAAGGAAGAAATCAGTGGGAATCAAGCTACTCCTGACACAAATAATCGTTCCTTTGGGATGTATTTCCATTATGTAACGCAGCACTATGTCAACTGGGCATTCTCACTATGTATATAAACAAGAATGTCAAAATGTTAGTTGCGTTCATGAAGAAACTCGTAATAAAGGCAGGGGGTCAGCAATGGACTAGATGAACTGACTCAGCTTTAAAAATAGAGTATGCTAAAATGTACAAGTGAAAATTGTTAGTGTTTAGTAACCTTAGCAACAAGATGCCTACATAACATAATTACAGTTGGGTCAAATATGAAATTGTGATTAAGAACACAAATGTCTAGCAGAGGACCCTTTAATTAACCAAAGGGTACATATGCTGTTATGGGGGTGTGACTGGCAGGTAGATATTCCCAGCAGATACAGAATCTGAAGACTCCCTCACATTTCCGCTGTTTCACATTACCGTAGTGACACAGGATAGCAGTGTCAGTTGTCAACAGTGGCTACATTTGACTTTAGAGAGACTCGGGTTCTTGATCAAACAAAGACATCTTATTCTAGGAGTTCTAAAATGATGAGGAAAAATTTGCTTAACTAGAGCACAACTAGAGGAAAGTGTCTGTAGCTAGCAAAAGATGCCATGTTAACAGTACTTTAAGTACTCTGTGTTTGCAAACAGATAGACATTGTGCGACACAAATTAGTATATTCACAATTTAGATTTTATTTATTTATTCATTTTAAAAAGATACAAAATCAACGTTAACATGAATAACTCCAAACACACTCCAGCCCCTTTTAACCAGATGGGTATGCAAACCACAAGGCATACCAGTATCAATCAATAAATCAATTGTGTCCATTTTCAAATATCATTAACATTATCATACACCGATATACAATGTCATAACCTGAAATTTATTGGTAAAATAATGGACTCAAATGAAACCAATACCAGTCTACTGTCACATAAGACAGGAAAATTGACCTCCTTGTCACACCCATAGTCACTTGTCAAATTTGCATACAAAGCTTAAACCAAAAAACTCACTTGGTGTGTGCATTTACAACATCGTAAGCAGCTGTGGTCAGTGTTTCTGTGTTATCTGACAATGGATTCTTACTGTTGCTTCATCGTACTCCTTATATGTGTAGCACCTTAGCTCACTCGATATCTGGAGAAGCCTAGACAATAATAAAGCTAATTAATCTACATACATGTCTGCAACTGCATCATGCACGGACCACGTCCCCCCGCAACCGCAGTTCACCCTTAAGCGTTGCATTTGAGCATCGAAGACCCTTTTCCGACTGAAAAGATGAGTCCAAAAACTTGGACGAACGGCCACAGAAATACGTCCGACACGGTTAAGATGGATTTAGGGAACACATGCACATAAAGCTGGAGGAAAAGGAGAGGGAATGATGACAGCCAGTCTGAGCATGTCTGCATACAGGAAAAGAAAAAAGGTTTCATTGCCACACTGTCAGCCAGACTGACTACAGGACAAAAAGAGCAGGCAGGCAAGGCGAGTGTTTCGAGGAATCCCACCTCTCCTCAGTTGAGCTGAAGACATTCTGCTGCACCTCTATTTTCAATCATCAGCCCCCATGACCACCACCCACCCAATCTCCTCTGGCCATCTCCATCTCTCAAACCCCCTGAACCCACCAGAAAACCTTTAACTACCACAGCTTACAGAATGGCTGTAATACAGCCATATTCTGCTGCTCAGCTTTATGACCAAAGCCTTGCTCATTTTTTCCATGTGATTGTTAGAAGGTCTGGCTAGTTTTCTAACTGGGATGCAGCAGATTTCTTATACTCAAGACACTCATGACAAGGTCTGCAATTCACAAACATGCTCTACGTCGTGGCTCAATGCACCGTCTAGGGCCAGGAAGACACTGACATAGCAAAGTCAGTTCAACATGGGGGGAAAAAAAATAAAAGCACTTGATTCTTCAACAGGAAAAAAAACACTAGAAATATATTCAACAGGAAGTCAGTATCACACAGCACTACATGGTGTGAACCTATCATCCAACCTCTTCCTGAAAGCCCTCAATCCCATAACAACTTACCTTAGCAAGTACAGTTATTGAACCGCTATCTACTGCTGAACTCTTATTGAATGCAGTCCAGTAACGGGGGAAGATCTTAAATGATTAAAAAAAATCTGTCCTTTCGCCATCATTTGGTGTTTTTCCAGGTCTGGTCTATGGCAATCCCTCTACAATTCATTTCAGTGACATGGGTCACAAAGGCACAGACACTTAAGTTTGGGGGCAGGTAAAGCAAATGGTAAAAAAATATCTTTGGAAGTCCTGAAGCAGCGCGTGTGAGACGGTCACCACTCACAGGTAGGACAGGGCGCGCTGGAGCCACCTACATCGAGTTTAACTGAGAAAACCGTGACATCATCACAGCAAAGACTGGACCTGAAAGGGTTTAGAGAAAGAAGTTAGTCATTTAAACACTGCTGCATGTCATTTAAAACAGAGGTTCAAGCTTCAATCCATCGTCTGCTAACTAATCTCCATGGATTTTCTTTCTACTTGCATACAAGCAATTGCCTGAGAGTCTGAGGTCACAAAGTGTTTGAGGAGGTCGGGTGTGTCACATCTATATTTTACAATGGTGGGGAAATTGTGCGATATCTCCCCCACCACTGCCCATGAAATCAGCTGCCAATAAATCTCGACAAATACAAGCAGTTAACCTAAACTATGCTGGCATGACCATATAGGTTTGTTATGTCTGACAAAGTCAAAACAACTAATGTTCTTGATAGAGCAAACTGCTTTGCTGCAGGACAA